CCCATCAGCATCATCATCGGCATCATCATCATCATCATCATCATCATCCTCATCATCATCATCATCATCATCATCATCATCAGCATCATCATCATCATCATCATCAGCAGTAGCATCAGCATCATCATCATCATCATCACCATCACCATCACCATCATCAGCATCAGCATCATCATCATCATCACCATCATCATCATCAGCATCATCATCATCATCAGCATCAGCAGCAGCATCATCATCATCAGCATAATCATCATCAACATCATCGTCATCAGAATCATCATCATCATCATCATCATCATCAGCATCAGCAGCATCAGCAGCATCATCATCATCAGCAGCATCATAATCATCATCATCATCATCATCATCATCATGATCATGCTCATGATCATCATCATCACCATCATCAGCATCAGCATCATCATCATTATCGTCATCATCAGCATCATCATCATCAGCATCAGCATCATCATCATCATCATCATCAGCATCAGCATCATCATCAGCAGCAGCATCATCATCATCACCATCACCATCACCATCACCATCATCATCATCATCATCATCCTCAGCCTCATCCTCATCATCATCATCATCATCAGCATCAGCATCATCATCATCCTCATCATCATCATCATCATCATCATCATCAGCATCGTCATCATCATCATCATCATCATCATCATCATCACTACCATCATCAGTATCTTCATGCTCTCTTGTCCGTATATTCCCCCTGTCGCACCCAGGGGCCAGTTTTTAGGCGGGCCGGGCGTTTCGCTTGTGATATCCTCACCATTTACGACCCTGGAACTTTACAGATGCCAACTGTTTCACATGTGGAGGGCGGGGGTGGTTGAAAATGAAGCTGTCGTTTTAGCGCCGCGCACATGTGTATTCAAACATTGCAACAGTTTCACGGATTGAGGGCGGATGGTTTTCCAAATGTGGCTCTCGCCTTAGCGCCGCGCACAGTCATTTTCAACATTTGCAAGAGCTTCACGGATTGAGGGCGGCTCCTTTTCATAATATGGTGTTCGCCTCACCGCCGCGCACATTCGTTTTAAAAGTGTGGAAAAGTTCCCCAGATGTCCATGATCAGCATACCAAAACATTGGATGTTGGAAGGATTCATGATTATGTCGCAACAGTTACGTTGATTCGCCGTGTTGAAGTCTCAAGAATACGTTTTGACACGGTTCGATATCGTCAAGACGCAACAGTCAACTTGATCCGTGGCGTTGGAATATCAAAAACATTGTGTAGGCATGCTTCAGGGTCTTCAAACGGTTGTCTTCCAAAGAGGGAGTGCCCCCAGTGGAAATGAACCGTTGTATGGGGCCTATGAAGAGGGAGCTTGGGGGAGGGCCTTTTTTTCCGACACCGTTGATGGTTCATGGGTTTCTTGTGGTCCTCCTCCTCCTCCTCCCTCTCCGCCGCCTCCCCCTCGTCTTCATCGGTATCATCCTCATCATCAGCAACAGCAACAGCAGCTTTTCGTACCTGTTTACAAGTGATCTAGCAGTCTCTGATACCCCGCTGTTTCGGTGAAAAGATGGAACATGTGCTACGCCGATAACGGAAATTCATTACGTCACGCTCCAACACCATCCTGTCACACAACGAGTTCAAAGCAACGGCGTTGGCGATCCAGCGACTAAGAGAACGCATCAGGTGAACCGCGGCCATCGCTTCACTCGCAGTCGCACTCGGGGCGCCACGAATTTGAAATCTCCCCCATGCCATATTCACCAATCCCGGAGAGCTCCCGCATCGAACAATCCAGCCACCAGCTCCCATGGAACCTCGAAGACCACCATCAAAACTGCAATGCACGTAGTTCCCAGTCGGTCGCACTGGGGCTCCCACGTCAATTACGGGGGCGTCGAGCGCACAGCCATCTCCCGCAAGCGCATCAGCTTCGGAGTTCTTCCCCCTACACACGCGATGCTAAAATTCACCGCGGACTCCGCGCGGAAGCAGAAGAGACAAACCCAACGCTTGATCAAGACTACCTGCGCGCGTCAGGACGGCCGTCTGGCGCGGCTTGCACTTTGCACGCCATCGCCCTCGCAGCCAGCGTACTACGCTCAAGTTGTCGCCCGCGACGCCCAGACGAATCGCGGGCGCGGCCGGCATGCTATCCCAAGAAATCTTCCATGGACTGACCTGTCTCGGCCGCTTCCGATGAAGTTCCACTGCTGAATGACCAACTGTGGAGGCACGCCGGCCCTCCAATTCACTCAGGTTCAAATTCGAATCAGCCTTTGCCATGAACTCGCCCTTCTTCCGCTGCCACTCATTCGGCTCGCGCGCGTGCGTCTTCCATCGAAACCCGAAGGCAAACGCAAAAGCCCTGTCCCAACGCATTTTGGGGGCCCGGTCTGGAATGACTCCAGGACGTCGAACTGCGATTCCCCATCCCTCCGAGTGCCTGCGCGATTCCGGCCCCGTTCCGGATCCCTCCATCCAGCACAAGACGGCAAGACCTGCATGGTAAACTGCGAAGGACAGTGGAGACGCCGCTAACAACCACCCGCCCAATGAAGCTGGCCCAAGAAGATCGTGAACAAGAACTTCCTGCCTCCTCGGTGGTAGATTTGTCGCGCTTTCCGAGTCGCCCGCTGGACCCAAAGAGGATGCCCCTCCCCCTCTCGCCGGCCTATCCCCAGCATCCGCCTCAACATAGCACTCTCCCGAGAGCAGCACGAAGCGCGCAAGTCCCTGCGGAACAACCACCCAGATGAGCCGCAAGTTGCAATCGTCACTGCTCTGGAATGAAGCTCGGCCATGCGCTTCTGAACGCGGATATGCCGGCATAGATAAGAAGACAAATTTGACCAGAAAGCGGAAGAAGCCTCGGCCAGGCGGCGCCTCGCTGCAGCTACATGATCGGAGAGAGGCGCCAGCAAATTCCCCGCGACTCCATCTCTGAGACGCATTCAACACGATGACCCTGCCCGTCTACACGGACTACTGCATCGAGTTGGCCCGCGGACGCGCCGGCGCGCAAAAACTTCAAAGACTTGGGATCTCAACGGAACCCGTTCAATCCGATCTCCCGCTTCACGCTCGAAAACATCGTCGCCGCGTCGAACATTGACTGACCAACAAAGTACATATTGTCTGCCCAAACTGCGCGGCTTTGAAGCTTAATGTGAAAGGGCAACTCCGATGCCAGCAACCTCCCATGTCGACGACGCGCTTCGCGATCATCATCCGCATGGCCAAAGTGAACAGAAGCGGCGATTCGACCCCTCCCTGCCGGACGGCCTCGTTGAACGGGATACGTTCAGGAATAGACACATTGCCCAGTGACACTTCGCACGTCAAGTTGACCAGATCTGCGACAATGCAAGAAGCCAGACGTGGAGGAACGGCCCAGAACTGCACGGCCTCCACAACCGCGCGGGGCCTGACATACTACGAAGCAGATTTGATGTCCGCACTCAATATGTATAAGGCCCCTTCCCACCCCACCCTCGCCCCAGATATATGTTGACACAGGTGGCCCTCGACATAACCAAAAATCAATACCCGATCCCATGATTCGGGACGTAAGCGCAGAGCGCGCTGCTTCGCCAGCTAGACCAAATACACCACGCAGTACTTGGCAACCACATCAATGAGAGGAATGCCGCGGGGCGCGTCCAAGATTTCTGGCCTCTGCACTTTTGCGATCAGATTGATGATGATCTCTCCAGTTGTTCGACTCTGTCCGAAAAACTGTCACGCATCGACTGTGGAGCACCCAATGCAGAAGGAATGAAAGCCGCAAAAGGAAGATTCAAT